TGGATGAAAACCTGGTTTCCTTGATTTATAATTTTTCCTTTTTTTCACCTTTTTTCTTTAGCTAATTCTGTTTTTCCCCTTTTTATAGAACATGTTTCCGCATTATATCTGACTGTTCCCTGACTCTTCTGGGCTCAACTATAAAACAGCAGGCAAATACACATCTCACAGTCAGTCTTCTGAGTTACACACTAGCTGAAAGGATCCTTCCATTTGAACTCTTTTTTTGAGGTCATTTCCAGAAATGAGTCAGATGTAGTGTGTGGAAGATCCACACTTTGCCTAATGAGGAACTTTTGCTGTTTGATATGTGTGCCAGCTTTGAATTTTATCTCCTTGTGCCAGGTTGGCATGTGGTACTCTTCAGGGTGTCACACTTGGTGAAGTCAAGCATGGTTTGAGCTTTTGCTGTTCCTGATCACTCTGAGGGTTTATAAGGCGCTTCAAATTTTTACAAAGACTCCCAACGTAGCCCTGAATCTCTTATCCTGTCCAACCATGCCCCCTTTTGAAGGCTGTCCCAGGAACACAGCAGAGAGAAAATTAAGATAATTTTGCATTTTTGTGTTTCCCAAATGAGCTTTTTTTCTCTCTTTGCAAGATCCCCCTGCTCCAGGAAATAGTAATTCCCAAGTTGAAAGAAAGCACAGATGCATAACTGCCTGTTCCCTCCTCAAAGAGGTCACACATTCGGAGAAGGTATTTCGGGCAAGGTGATTTATTTTAATTAATAACAATGATTGTGTTTTTAATTATTATTTCAGAAGAAAAGCTAAGACACCAGTTGGGAGTTTTCCAGAAAATAAATCAGTGATTACAGATTTAAGGCCTCTTAGCATCTGCGACTCTTTTTTCTCCTACATTTACTTTTAATGCTTCTACAGTTTGGCAACTGAGCTAACCCAGACTGACTGCATTTTCTTTCAGTTCAGCAAATTCATTTAACCTGCTCATGCCAGAATAAGAAAAAAAAAATCGTTGTCTAATATTCTATTCACTTAGTCAGCTACTTGGCAAGGATGGATACACCAGCCAGGAGACTGATGCCAAATATTCATTGTGTTTAATGGTTTCTCTAGGAGTGAAGTTCTGAAAATCAGATAGCTGGGCTTGAGAAGGTTGTTTTCTGTGTTTCAGATGTGCGGCCACATATCATTAAAAAAGAGACTTTTCCCCTGCTATCACTGAACTGTGTTAGCTTCCTTTCAGAGTGATTAGTGTGTTAGTGTGTTATTGTACTCTTGGCTAATGTGAAAAGCCAAGAGAATCAGTGTGAGAATCAATGTGAGAATCACTAAAATAAATAGTAGGGAAAACAGAATTCTGTGAAAAGAATCTCACAATTGTCTCTTTTTATAATGATATAATGAAAGATCTGATTTCACATTACAGAGATCTATACAGGGATATGTTAGAAGCAGGGGTCATCTGTTGACTTTCAGAAATTAAATGGGATCAGTCATAACAATTTCCTTCCAGAAATTCTTTTAACCACTAGTCTGGAACCTGAAAGTTCCTTCAGTAAAAGTGTGAAAATCAAACCTGCAGTGACTTCTTGTCATGGTTTGAAAGCCCAAAAAAATCCAATTCCCTAGTCTAAGCCCCCTGCCACATCTCAACCCAATGCGAGATGGTTTTTTCCAGACAACCACACGAGACTCAAAATGGGGGAAAGGGAATATATATTACAATGACTGTACAAATAAATACTACAATACATTATATACAATCTTAGCTATCTCTACCATGACAGAATAGCATTTACAATGGATCAAATCTCTTCTCCCCTCCAAATAAAAGTCCAGGAGGGAAGAAGGAAAGATCCTTTTCACTCTCAGAGCAGCAATGTCTCTAGGGCAGCAGGTCTATCTGTTTAGTTCTTCTCATGCAGCAGCTGGATCTCTGCCAGCACACATGAGGGGTATCCAAGCCCCTCAGCCACTCGTCTTCAAATGAGGGTCTTCCTCCGTGGGCTGCGTTTCCCAGGACAAAGGGCGCTATCACCATGTCATATCATGAAGGGGTCTTCGTGACGGTCCTTATCTTCAGGGGATTCACGTTCCCTACAGAGCTCTGTGCTCTGTCTCAAGCAGCAGGGGGGGCCAAGGTCACCCTCTCCGCATTCTTTCTCTGAGCTTTTCAGCTCCTCTCTGCAGTGCTGCTGCAGTTTTAGGACTTCCATTCAGTAGGAGTCCATCCTTTCCACTTAGGGAAGGTCACAAAAGGAGTTTGGGGTTTTTATTTCAGTTCTTACCCCAGCTTCCTCTCTGCTGCTCTCTCTCTCTCTCGCTCGCTCTCTCTCTCTGCTCTCTCAGACAACTCTGTGTCTTCCTTGCTCAGCTGCATGCTGTTTCTGCTGCTTATCTTCTGCTGGCTCTTAGCCACAGTCTCTGGACACTGCTGCTGCTCTGTCTCTGCTCACTCACGGTGGAGAAAACTTCTTTACCTTTCAGCTACAGGTACTTAGCCCAGACTTATGCTGTTCCAAGTCCCTGCAGCCCCCCCCAGCCAGGGGCTGGGGGGGCCCCAGAGGCCCCAAGGGGCTCCGAGCCCCTTCCTCGTGGCCTCAGAACATGGCTACCACTTCTACCACCAAACTACAACTAACCTTCTCTTCCGTTCTGCTTGTGATATGTTTATATTTTGCAGAAGCGCTCATTGGGTAAAACTTCAATGCTTCAAGGGTCACCACCCCCTGGGGTTTTACCATTTTATAACTGCAGGGGGAAAAACTGTTTCCCCCCACCACTGTTCTGCACATAGAAATCTGAGCATGGTAAAGCATAAAGTCAACATTTCATAATATAATTCAGAAAACTGAAAAAGGATGGGTTATTTTCTAGTTTTTTAGATCTGAGTAATTTATGTATTTTTAGAGAATTGCCAAATATTTTCTTAAAATACATTATTCCAGTTTATTGGTTTTTTGACTCTGGTGTTTTTTGGTCTTAAGACCTAGGATGACATTCACACTTTGCTGGATGTAGGAGTAAGTTGCTTATTTCCTGGAGATTGTAGAAATTTGTATTGCCTTGAGGCAGAGCAGTCAGTCTGCTTAATTCTTTTTCTTAGGGATTTCTGCCTTCATCTAGCAATACATGTTGTCTATGCTTTTTAGAAGTAGAACCATTCCACTTGAAATTTGGGAATTTTGTGATTATTCTTAGTCTATTAGCGAGTGCTTGCAAAGTAGGGAATAATTTTAAAACAGAATTAGTCATGGCAGTATTTACTGAATATTTTCTCTTTTCTTATGAATTTTCTATATGCCTTAATACCAACAACTTTGCACAACGCAAGAAGAACCAATCTAGACATACTTATAAACTGAACTCTGTTCAAGGATGTTGAACCACACTTCATTCACCACCCACAAAAGCCCAAAAAACCACAGGACACCCTACTGGAATCACATTACAAGAACACAGCTCCTTTAAACTGACTGCAGTGGGGACAGTATTGGAATATGTTGTGTCTTGACTTCTCTCTTTGAGAGAAAATCCTTTCCTATGTGTGAAAATCCACCTACTTTGAGGCAGAAAAAGAAAATAAATAGAGAAAATAGGAGGAGAAAGTAGTAAAATATCCCTACAATGTGGAAAACTTTTAGAGAGTGTTGTAAAGTTCCATTCTCCCTTGAATCAGCTTCATCATTTGAGAGCTGAGAGCACCTATCTGCTTTCTCTTCCAGGGCAATACACTTTCTCTTTTTACCTTGCATAAAATATACAAGGAGGAATCAGAGGAATACAAATAAATCTATGCCTATTCCTGATTTGCCAGAGCCTCTCCATAGTCTACAAATGTATAAAGGTTATTGAGGAAACTTGATATGGGCATACTGCATTTTGGCAGAATCCATAGCCAGCAGCAGCAGTCACAGGGATCTGAGATTTATGCTTCATTAAAGCTGGTATAATGCCAGCCTGGCTGACAAAGGACAAAGAGCCCTCAAGTAATCTATCCGGCAATGATGACTTTCAAAGTCTACTCTTTGGCTAGGTGGTTGAACAGGTTACCAGCCTCGTACAAAGTGAATGAGATTTCTGACCTTCAGAGTGACTTATAAAGTATTTTGTTCTATAACATTTGCTTTAGACCAGGCCTAAGGACATCAATCTAATCCTGAAAATCACCAAACAACACTGAATTACGCCAGTCAACTTTTTATGACTTTCTGTGAAGCCCACTTGTGGAGTGCAGCTCAAATAGAGTATGACTACAGGAATGCCTAAGATATTGGCTCCCTAACATCAGGACTGCTGCTTGCCTCTTATTCAGTAAAAATATATTATAACAACAATTTTTGCTTTCACTCTGAATGGTTCTGCTTATCACTACTGTACCATGTGAAATATTCACTGCTACAGATGCTGGGAGAATCTAAGGCAATTATTTTTTTCTTCCAAGACTCTCCATCTCTGGAGTTCTCATCTTCACTTATCAGCTCTGACTTAGTTCTGTGTCAATCTACCATGACACAGTGCCTAAGTACAAGACATCTTTCCAAGCCTCTGGTGGTTGTTACCCTCTTATAAAGCTCAGTCATGCAAGGCCCATGGCATCACCAGTATGACAACACAAATCGACGGATTAGTGGGAGGGGGAGATATTTCAGGCTCTGGGAGCCAGCCCATTACCTGGAAGGTGAATGCTCTTCCCCCCTGCCCCCGCCACGTGGCCTGGCAACCCCGTAAGGAGATCACACAGACCACCAGGGAGGGACGGACGAAAGAGGAAATTTATTGTGGGGTAGGGGTTTATAAGGCTTTTAGGAGGGTCAAAGGGGAACCAATTACAAGTTCAGGGACACAGAAAAAAACAATCAGGTAAAAAGTTAACAGCCAGTAGGAAGGGGTTAACAAAGACCAATGAGAACACCACAGGACGTCTTCTCAGGACACTCCCGTATGGGAGACAATAGTCCTTCACAGGGGGTGTCAGGAACACGGAGCAATGACTTTGCAGAAAAAGCAAAAGCCATTTTAAAACCTGTTTAAACCATATTGAAAACTTCTGTTTCTATAACATTTGAGCGGTTTTCTTCTTTTTCTTCACTAGTCCATCTCTGACAGGACTTCTTCCATCCTACATATGGCAAATCCATTGCCACAACAAATTAAATGGTGAAAATCCTGAGATCAGTCCTACTCATTATCTTTTTCACATAAGGTATAAAAGTCCAATCTCTCACCTATCTCAATTCCTCACTGGAATGAGCCCCTGAGTGAAAGAAAGATGGCTGAAGAGCAACTCAAGCTAAGCTGCATATAACTCAAACAGATAACTTCCTAAAAATGTTCTTCTTTATAATTTCATTTTTCAGAACCTCTGATCTCAACACTCTCTGGGTGCTACCAGACATCTTGACAGTGTGACGTATCAAAAGCTGATTAAGAAGAAGCCACTCCTTTCTCGTCATACCCAATATTTTGAATCTAACCACTGTTGACACTCGAGGCACTGAGCAGCCTGTGCATCTGTGCCTGCTTATTATAACATAATGAAGAATGAAGCTGCACTGGAAAAAATTTGAATTGGTAGTAAAATATAGTCTCTTATCTGAACATAAGGTGAAATAGATATCATGGTTGTCTCTCTGAACTGTGCACTTAGCAGAATGCAGAATCCAAAATCCAAGTCACTTGTGAAATTAATTTTCTATGTGGGAAAGCCTTTACTTACCTGAGTTCATCAGTCTCCTCTTGTCTAAGTTATGTTGCCATGGAACAATAAAACTGTTTGACTGAATGCAAATAATTTGATTTTCACTGAAATTGAAATAAGATTGAGAGACTAGGACTCATTCTACAGAAGGTAAGTCACTGTTTTAAGAGACAAATGTAAATACTACATTTTGTAGTTTAGTTTCTCCCATAAAATGCCCAGGCATGGTTGCACAGAATAGCCATTTACAGTTAAGCGTTCATAAAAATATGTGTGTCAGTCTGTGTCTCTTTTCTGGTTAGGAAGAAATGAGGAGATGGTATCTCAAATTTTAAACACCTGGGAGGAACTAGTGTATTACAGTGATCAGATTGTCTTTATAAGTATAAAACCAGAAAGCTAGGTGGGTAGTTTTTGGTTTTGTTTTTTTTTTTATTAATTCAAACAGATTTAGTCAACTGAATGCATATACTACATTTACCTTCACTAGAGGATTGGGAGTGTAAGCTGCATTATTTCTGGCTACTTTGGGATTTTGACCTGAAAATGCTTCTACTGACATTTCACAACACATTTTTCAACTTGCTGATGTTTGCTAGGGGACCTGTCCCCAAGTATTAAATGACAGTGACATTGCGGTAAACAAAACAACACTTGACTCTCTTCTCAGAGGAATTCCTTGTTGATTTCAGGTCAGAAGAGTAGAAATATGAAGAAAACAAGAAATGGTTTATATTTTTCTCAAGTGGTTATTGAGGTTAGTCCTTTCTGTAGACTGTTGCCAGACAATTTGTCTTTTTGTGTCACAGCTGATATGCAGTATAAAACATATACAAATGAGGTCACTTGCTTACATATTTGTCTCAATACTGATTTGCAGGTTAAATTCAAACAGCAAAAGCTATGATATAGAAAACACTGGCTAGAAAAAAACTCTTACCTTTGAGGAACGCCTTCATTGAACTGCCATCCTCTGAAATATGAACAGGAAAACTAATTGGAATGAGCTTTATTATCACTTTTCTTCTTAAGTTATGGTCTTATCTGGAAGGGTTCTTCTTAATAACTGGATATTAAGCCTATAATATAGTTCTATAACACAATTTTTCTTTAACAAAATACTTACCATTGGCAGTTAGCTCCCTTTCAGTTTTCCCATCATCTTGGCATTCATCTAACCATCTTTCATTGCAAAAACAAAAATAATAAGATTAATAAAAACTATTAGTATATTATATGTGAGCTGACCATTACCTTCTGTCTCCAACAGTATTTTTATACTTTGTTTATCAAGTTATGCCTTGAAACCTAGATCAAAGTTTCTTTTATACATTCATCACAGTTAGTCTTATTCATGTTAGAAGAATTTGGTTCAACCTGCTCCAGGCAGAGGAATTCTCATCGTAGCTGTGCGAATACTGTAGTATTATATGAAGTATATTATATGAAATGCTAATTATTTACTGCTTCAGAGATTCAGCTGTATATTTGAAGGGGTATATAACCTGCAGTGATTAGTTATATTCATTGTACTGACTGATATATAAAATGATATATAAAACCTGCTAGTCTGGAAGTTTCTAAATCTTTTGCAGATCTGCAGCAATTAACTGAACTTCTCTTTTTACTTTTCTTTTAAATTGATGAATTTTAGCAGCTTTCCTGCAATATCGTTTTACTGCAATATCGTTTTACTCCTTCAGTTGATCCTCCATGCTCAAATAGTAACCCTTCACGGCCTTCAACAATATCACTTATTTAAAAATAAATAGATACATGTTTACTATCAGTTTCTATTCTATTGACTCCATATTAATGTTGCATTTGTTAAAACCCAAGGATTCACAATATATTTCACCTCTTATGTGTAACAAAACTCTATGAATAAATATCTTATGCATGAAGTCTGAACTCCACTGTATTTCAACTACTGTTGTAATAAATAGCTTGATTAACTTTTGGGACCTATCTCCTAATTCTGTCCTAAGAAAGAAAAGATCAGTAGTAGTTTCTAAAAATAGAAAGCAAACTTTGACACATTGGCAGCACACTTACACTGCAGGCAAACAATGACAAAATTCCTCTGGTTCTATGTGTAAAGTCCCTAATCTTTTTCTAAGATCTTTACAATTTCCTCTTGAAAAGGCAGCCCAATGTTTTTATTAAGAATTCCGCTCTTCAGAGAAGTCTCATAAGTTCTCCTTGAATCTAAAGAATCAATTTTCTCATTCATCTCTGCTTCCAATAACCATCTTTAATGCACACCAAACCATTTTAAAAGCTTAATACCCAAAAAGAAAAGCTAAACCAATAACCTGATCATTAGAATGATAGTCCTAAGAAGAGTAAATGGTTCTTAGCTAGTCATTTCCAGGAACTTTGCAAAAGGAAACCCTGTGGTGTTTTTTTGTAAACAGGTAGGATTCCTAGAACAGGAGAGCTATCTACTAAACCCCTGAAGATTTTCAAGACTTAAAGCACAGTTCCCAAAATAACATGAAAACTATTTTAGCTATGTAACCCAAACTTTTAAGTTCTGGAAACCACATACTACAGAATATAATTATCTGGATCTAAATTACAATTCTTCAACTTATTTCTATTGTATTAAAAACACTTATGCATAAATAACACACACAGATCCTTACTTTCCTCTATTGGCTTATTTTATGTGGGTTTTTTTCTGCTACAGCTGTATTATTCAACTCAAAGACAGCCAAAATGTTGCAGTTGCCTCAGATAGTAAGAAACTTTGAAAGAATGGACTGTTTAGCAGTTGTTAGAATTGAGAGAGTCGAATGTTTTCTAATTTTGTAGATGGTAGCAAAATTTTAGACCTACTAAAATAGAAGAGATTTATTCTACTTTAAGAGGAAAAGTTAAAGATCTTTCCAAAGATTTCCAGGATTTCAGTGACAGAGAAAGTGACCAAAATCAGTGCAGCTAGATCTTAGAATAGAATCAGAGCATCGTTTAGGTTGGAAAAAATCTTTAAATCATCAAGTCCAATCATTAGTCCAGCACCACCATGTTCACCACTAAACCATGTCTCCAAGTGCCACATCAACACATCTTTTAAATACCTTCAGGGATGGTCTTCACCACTTCACTGGGCAGCCTGTTTCAATGCTTAACAAGCCTTTTGGTGAAACAAGTTTTCCTAACACTCTTTCTAAACAATCCCAGGCACAACTTGGGGCCATTTTCTCTCATCCTATCACTCGTTACTCTCAGGAGAAGAGACCAACCTCCTTTCAGGTAGTTGCAGAGAGAGATAAGGTTCCCACTGAGCCTCCTTTTCTCCAGACTAAACAACCCCAAGTACCCTCAACTTCTCCTCACAGAGCTTGTGTTCTAGACCCTTCAACAGTCTCATTACACTTCTCTGACATGCTCCAGCTCCTCAACGTCCTTCTTGTAGTGAGGAGCCCAGAACTGGATACAGGGTTTGAGATGCAACCTCACCAGTGCTGAGTACAGGGGGGATGATCAATTCCCTAGTCCTGCTGGCCATACTACTTCTGATACAAGCCAGAATGCCATTGGCCTTCTTGGTCACATGGTCACACTGTTAGCTCATGTTCAGTCAACAGATGACCAGCACCCCAAGTCCTTTTCCACCAGGCAGCTTTCCAGCCACTCATCCCCAAGTCTGTAGCATTGCAGAGGGCTGTTGTGACCCAAGTGCATCTCCCTCAGTACCCTTCTGTGAATCACATCCAGCCTCACAGCCTTGTACATGGCTAAGTGCTGAAGCAGGTTGCTATTTCCCATTGGATTGTGGGGGATTCATTCTGTTCCCTCTACCTTTCTTCTAGCTCAGGAGACTGGATACCAAGAGAACAACTGGTATTACTGCCAAAGGCAAAGAATACATTAAGTGCCTCAGCCTTTCCCTCATCCTTTGTTAATGTTGACCCTCACATACAATAAAGGAGGAAGATTCTCTTTAACTCTCCTTGTGTTTCTGCTGTGTGGGTTTTTTTTGTGTTAGTTTTGTTGTTTTGGGGGGTTTTTTGTTTGGTTGGTTTGTTTGGGGTTTTTTTTGTTTATTTTTCTTTATTTGGTTTGGTTTGGTTTTTTTGCCTTGCACAGCAAGATTAATTTTTAGTTAGGTTTTGGCCCTTCTAATTTTCTCCCTGCGTAACATCACAACAAGACTCTCTGTAGTGCTGAGTTGCCTGCCCCTTCTCCAAAGGTCATAAACCCTTGTTTCATTCCTGAGTTTCAGCCAAAAATCTCTGTCCAGCCAGGCTGGTCTTCTTCATCCCCAGCTCATCTTGCAGCACATGGCAATGGCCTGTTCCTGTGTCTGTAAGATTTCCTTCCTGAAGAATGTCCAATCTTCCTGGTATGCCTCCCAGGGGATTCTGTGAACCAGTCTCCTAAACAGGCCCAAGTCTGCTCTCCAGAATATCAAGGTGGCAGTTCTGCTCTCCCTTACTTCTCTGAGGATCAAAACCTCTTATAATTTCACCATTTCTGTGTCCAAAATGGCCTCCAACCTTCACATCACTCACCAGTCCCTCTCTGTTCACAAACAGCAGATCCAGTGGACATCTTCCCTAGCTGGCTCCCTGACCAGCTGTGTCAGAAGGTTCACTTCTATAAACTCTGGGAATCTCCTAGACTGCTTCCCCTCTGCTGTGTTGTATTTGCAGCAGACACAAGTCCCTCAGGAGAACAAGGGCCAGTGATTGTGAGACTTTTCCCAGCTGCTTATAGTATGTCATCTGCCTCTTCATCCTGGTTGGGTGGTCTATAACAGACTTCTACCATGACACCTGCCTTGGCCATCTCCCTGATTCTTGCCCATATACACTCTACCTTATCATCACCATCAGCAAGTTCTAGACAATTGTGGTGGTTTGGGCTAGGCCTTCCTTGGTGACCAGTTTGTAACCAAGGAAGGGTTCAGATTTACCCAGTATTCCCTACGATTTTTACGTAAAACAGACTATAAGAAGAAAGGAGGAGTGGCCTTCGCTCTCTTTCCTTCCGGCAGCTTGGAGGTGCAGGTTCCCTGCTGTTGAGTTGCCGTGCTGGGGAGCGAGGCCTGGTTAGGCCTTGCTGACCTTGGGAGACGGAGGTTGCCGGCGATCGTTCCGGAGCAACTCTCGGTTGTCCCAAGGAGAGTAGTGAGCTATTTTCTTTGCTAACTCTTTTAGTTGTTAGATATTGGGTCACTAATTGGGATATATATATTTTTTAATTTAGTTTTGTTCCCTTTCCCTTCCCCCTTCCCTTTCCCTTGTGAAATTGTATATTTTAATTGTATATAAGTGTAAATATATTTATATATCTCACTTTGGTTGTCTCTCTCTCATTTCAGGTTTTCTTAGTTTTTTTTTCTCCCTCTTCTCCCTGAGGTTTTTTTGGGGGGGGGACTTCTGGTGGTAAGGTTTGGAGACTTGGCAGGGAGCCAGCTTCAAACTATATCAACAATCAAAACACTTCTTAGCATACAGGGTTACCCCATCACCTCTCCTTTCTTGCCTATCCCTGCTGAAGGATTTATAGCCATCCATTACAGCACTTCAGCTGTGTGAGTCATCCCGCCATGTTTGCATGACTGCAGCTGTGTAATTTCAGATCTTTATATACAATACTTCTTAAAAGACTGAGAACTAAAAGCTTAAGTAATTTCACATGGTTTCTGTATAATTTAGATTAAACAAAAAGATCAATGCACCTTTCCTCTTATGAAACATCTGGTTTGGGGCTTTTTTGCTTCAGGCTATGACTCCCTCCTATGTCAATACAGCAAATTTGTTTCTTGCCTTTGATCGCAAAATTTTGCATCCCTTGTATGTTGAAAAACTCTGGTACATTGCTCATACACCTACGTTGTTTGCACATATCCATTCTGCTATTTTTTGATTACGTTGCTGGCAGGTAACAAATTATTTTTCTCCATGAATGGCATACCTATTACAAGGAAATACAACCTCCTGAGCTTCCTCTCCTTCTTTATGTTTGATGACAATCTTATCCAGGAACCATCCATTGCCTGTGTTGAAATGACAAAAGTTTATCATGTGAAATCATGCTTTTTTGTTTCTTTTTAATAAATTTTAAGAAAAAAAGCCCAGATTATATTTTTTTAGCAAAAACACAGATCATATTAAGACATACCTCAGCTAAATAGATAAGATATATCAACAGAATGAAACTTTATTATTTTGTATCTCTTGTAAGAGATGCAATTCTTTTCTACCTGTTTTAATTTTAAGTGGGGGGGATTTTTTCTCTTCAAGATAAATACATGCATACATCTCTGAATTGTTCGCACTGTTCACACCTCAGCCCATATCTTTGGATTCCTTGTAATCAGACACAAGGATGTTGAAACAAATCCATTTATTCACACAAATCAAGATTTGTGTGAATGCTGGAAATTTTGGTCCTCTGTGAGTGAACACCTTATTGCATATATAAAAATACTATATTAATTAACAAATCTTTAAAACTAGTGCTGCCATGGAAATGGAGCAGGACTGCAGCCTTGGTGGGGCTTTGTATGTCCTGGTGCCAGAAACTGGCAAAACTGAGGATCCAAGGACCCAGGAACAGCATCCAGATAGACTGAGTGCCTAAGGCCAGTTACTGGAGGTCTTATACGACCATACTGTATAAATTTTTTATATTTGACGTTGATGGACTGTTATTCTGATCAGCTGGAGAGGGTAACAGGATAAGGCCATTGTTACTATTTGTGTATGGGTTGAGTTCCTGTCTGTGTTTGTATGTATGTCGACTTGGAACACATGCTCAGCCTTGCTACCAGTGCAGCCGGCAGGCATGGAGCTGTGCAGCCTCACTTCTGTCAGGCTACTGAATTCATCCTCTGCCTAACAGCAGTAACCACTGGCACATCCATGCTGATCTTTCAGATCACTTCCAGTAACCATCTTAGTGACCAGTATAATTCTCCTTGCGACACCCTTCTCAAATATCCTGTTCTCACTGCTCCTGCCAACTCACAACTTGTCATATTGCTTACGAGGTTTTGCGTGACTCACACCATTACCTATCAACACATTTTAGAAAAACAACATGAGGGATGTTTTGGTCAGAAGAAACAATCATCCTATTTATTCTCATGCTCTGCCTCTCTGGCTGCATCTGAGTCTGGAAATCCCTATAAGGCAGCAGTTTCTGTCACACAGGAAGGGCATGCCCAGGCAATGCATGGAACAAAATGGCATCTCCCTTTAGGATTTCAGGTCCAGGGCACATTAGGACACTTTGCAAGCTACTTCTGTCACCCTCTTACACCTCACTACTCTTTCATCGGAAAAAGCCTATTAGGCTGGCCAAGATGAACTAGCGATCAGACAGGTCAATTTGAAAAAGGCCAAAAAAGATGAAAGGTACTGCCTGTGTAAATATATAGGCACATATGGAAGGTTTCTATGGAGGAAAAGCTTCTTTCAGCAGGTAAGACAAATCACCTAGTGACTCACACCAGGCCAATGCCCGAACCCTGCTTCTAGGACAAAATTCCTTTACTTTCCTCATTCAGTGTCTGTAGGAGAAGATCTGTACCCTGCAGTCTAGGAACTCTGAAGAAAACATATGTTACAGTATCCTTCTAAATCAAGACTAAGGACCTTCCTGTCCTGTCACTCAAGCAAATGATAGGATTAGAAAAAGGGGTAGTCCCATCTCTAAAGGTACTCTCTTTCCTCTCTCTCAACCCTCAAGTGGATGAGCCTCTTGGTGGTCTCTCCCCTGAGTCACCATCCTTTTCCAACTCTCAACTCCCCAGTAATCTCAGGTCAGGTTTATGAGGGGCTAGTTTTGGATGCAGTTCAAAAGAGGTCTGTGAGATCTGTCTGTGATAAATACAATGAACAACCATCTGAATTACCGAGGCATAAATTTCGTTACAGGAAGAATTCAATCCATTGTCCTGTTTAGACAGTCCTCCAAACCCATGGATTTGAACTCGGGTGTCAAAGAACAGCTTAAGATAGCTGAACTGAGTTACAGATTTACAATTCTTATCCTGTGATAAGGCTGAACTGCCTATTAACAGAGAGGTGAGGGAAGAGAGCATGGTACGGGATTCTGGGGAATAGAGGGAAGGTGGGTTCCACTGCACTGTTTTCTGTGTTATGTCTTGGGCTACCAGGATGTGAAACTCTCATGTATACAATCACACATTTTGCTGAAGGCAGAAAACTCTAGAGAACTAGAATGCCCCATCCTAAGGCTGTACTATTAAGGCTATTTCTGTAGTAGTCACAGGTCTGCTCAGAGCCTTAGGCAGTACAGTCAGCAAGATGGGTGTTGCTTAAGGCCATTTCAGAACAGAATAGGGTAAAAGGTATTTTCTAATCTGTTATCAGTGTGGCCCCGAACTGCTTTAAAAATCCTTCTCTTCACTTAGCTTATTCCTAGATATTAATCTGTAAACATATTTTGAGTATTTACATCTTCAGTGCTTTTAAATGCTAGTTTTCTCTTCATTTACATCATGCACACTTCAAGGGCCTGTACTGAAAATTCATCTCATCACCAAATTTTCTCTTTTTTCTGAAAAACCTACAAGCCAAATGTAATGTCACTCGCTGGAGCAGCTCCACATTGACTCACACAGATTAAGTAAATAATCTAATCATCTGCTGTTCCCCAAAGCAGCAAGGACATTATGCTAGAGCTACTCAAATTTTGTCTGGTAGAAAAGCAGCTGCTGAATATCTTTAATTCCATTCTGGCCAGTTTTCACTCTTTGTCTAATAAAGGATTGTCTTACCAGTGTGAGACACACTTTTGAAAGTTTTCTATATGCAAATAAATAATGCTTTCTTATAAATTATCTTGAAAACAAAGAGTGGAATGACAGCATTTGAGATTAAACTCATGTCCATTCTTCTGTCCATTACTATTGTTTTTCATCATCCCATCACAGTGATCAGCCTGCAGGAAAACTTTTTATCACTGCAAGACCTTCTGTCACATTTTATATGAAGGATGCAATATAAACAAAGTGCATTGGTTTTAAAAAGGGCTTGAAAACAGATTGGTCTCTAGGAAGTTAAATCCTACCTGGACCAGCTCCATCATGGCTAATCAGAACTTTCTCCAAGTCTCCCAGTGAGACAGCCTTTATGCAGAAAATATCCATCTGTGGAACCATACAAGGAAAATGATAAAGGTCTTGAACACAGCTATTGCTTTGACTATAACAGAGTAGAATAGCTCATTTTTCCTCTCTCTTTCTTTTTTTCTTCTTTTGCAAAATGAATATAGTTGTTTTATACTGGTCCTGGTCAGACAGTGAGGATCCTTTAAATCTTTCTGAGTTGAATAACACCTCAATTCCTTTGGCAAGACACAATGATCAGGTGCAAATAATTATTTAGTCATCTCTATATCATATTTTCTAGTGCTATCTGCCTCAGCAAGACTAGAAAACCTGGGATATGGATTTAGAACTTGATTCTAAAATTCATGGTGATCTGTTCAGGAGAATAAAAACTATTGTTACCATTTTATCCATAGAAGCAACACAAACAAGCAAGAATACTCAAATTCTACTATTTAATGCTCTCAGTAAATGATTGATTGAGCAGATAAAAGTCATCCATATGATGTAATTATGTAAGTAATTTTGAAAAAAGAAAATGGTAAATGCTTAAATAAATCTTATAAATAAAAGATATTTACACTTGTTTGCTAGCCATAATTTACTCTTATTGACCAGAAGTAGCATTGTTTTTACTTCACCTGTCCACGTTGAAATTTTACATTATTATTCTTAGATCTGTGGAGCTTCCTTTTGCCAGCATCTCCTCTTATCCCAATGAGGTTGATATAAACGTTGGAATTTGTTTCAGCACCAAGTTCAGCACCTGTGTATACATGGACCTCGTACACCAACACTAGAAGAAGAAAAAATTTGAGATTATCCTTGTAGTTTTCACAATTCTAAAGTTTTCTCATCAAAATTTAGCCTGAAGATGGCACAGATTTTCAAGTTTACAAGTAGCAACAGCTATCTGTGAATTTTTCACTTCTAGCTTCAAATCCTTTTATTCTCTTCACAAAAATATGAAAACACCAAGCTTCAGAAACCACAGGATGTTGAGCAATGCTATGTATTGCTTGGCAAAGCAACTCATCAAATAAGTGTTCCCTCGTACTCCGTTTCCTTCTCTCAGTCGTCGTCGATTATTCGTGATTTCAGGACCTAATTCACAAAGTCTTTCTTTCCAAGTTATCTGGAGACCACCTAATTGTGCCTAGTTGTCATCTCAAACAATAGCTAATTTTCACTGGTACCAAGGCATTTTCAACCTCCAGATTTGTGCAAAACAATTATCTGGGTTGTTAACCTTCATTTCATCTCTTAAAAGAAGAGTAACAATCACAAATCCTAGTGATTTTAGATTTTCACCTCATATACAAAGGTTGGCAAGCAGATGAACAGGCTCCCTCACCTATGAAAAATGAACAGTCATCTTGCTTTTGAAGATTTCAACATTTGTCACTAGTGAATGATAACACTTTCAAAACCAGCTCTCAGCTAAAATATATTTACAACTTTTTAACGTCTCTCCTTCTAGTCTTAGTCTAGTGTTACACACAAAAAATATACATGTGTCTTCAAAGAATTCTGGAATACAATTCAGAATTACTGTATTAACATGTTTTCTACCACACTAATATTATCTTTATAATTATCCAGATATGAAAATTTATTTAAAAAAATTATTTGTACTGATCATATAATATTATATTTTATCACAGTTTTTCTTATTGTGACTTTGAAAAAAAAACAATCCTGTTTGAATCTTAATGGCAATTTTTCCATGCAGTGTTTTTATTCTAATCACAGCTGGCCATTTCTGCTGCTATGTAGTAGATCACAGAGGAGATTACTGCTTCATTAGTGTATAATTTTAATAGTTCTTGGGAGTGAAGAAAGGTAATTGAAGCCCTAACAAACACAATTAAACACTACATTTAAGGAGGAACTAAGATGAAAACAGATATTAAAACAAAATGCTTGAAACTGGACAATATTATTCAAAAACTAATTAAAATACTATTACTCTTAAACCACCACATAGCTAGTAGAATTGCCATAAATTTCTTATTCACTGGATCCCAAGACAGCTTATAAAACTCAGACATCACATCATCCACCGTTACTCAAGAGCAGATATTTCTGATTCCCAGTGGAGAAGCTAAAACAGTAGTAAAATAATACTGCAAATACTTTAGGAAAAAAAATACCCCCACATCTATCAAAAGATAGATTTTGATGGATAGACTGTATGCTTAAGCAAATTAAGGTATTTCTTTTAACCTGTATTAAATCATCCTGAAGTAGCAAACACAATGTCTTAAACTCTTTATCACTGTTGCAACTGTGACTCAAAATATCAATGATGTTCCTGGATCAGTTTTGTTTTTTTCTGTAGCTTCAAGCACTCATTGCAGCTCTCACATCCATGCCTTAGTGTACCAACACCAACCATGACATACAATTGATCCCAATAACACACACACACATCAATTAAAAAATTTGACAGAACATAATAAAAATTAGTTTCAAGGTTTTCAACGTTAAAAAATCATGATAAAACAAATAGTATATATGAATGGCAATTAACAAAGATAAATCGACCTGATAAGTAGCATAACTGAGCTATATATCCAAATTGCATTTTATATCATAACTCCTAGTATAATCATAACTGGTCAAAGGGCAGAGGATAAGGGGTGTTTGGAAGTTTGGAAGGGGAGAGGTCACGTTTCCAAAAAAAAATGCTAACAATTATATTAATCTGCAAACAGCCTTTTTAATAACAGGTCTGTACTACCCATGGAGCAAGATTCTGCAGATAGATAGTAAAAGCAGGACCATATTCATATGAAGTCTCCTCCATACTTTTACACACTCACATTCCTAGTTTTGAAATTGCAAAACATCTGTGGGAGCAAAGGAAAGAGTATAGACTGTTTTATGTTATGACTGTTTATGTACAAAGCCTGGTATTTGTATTACTTACACCTACAAAATCTTTGTCATGATCAAAAATAAAATTTTTAAGTAACTATAAGATGAATTTTAAAGTACATTCAAGGCTTTATTTTAAGAAGCCCTTTAAAAATAAATGTTTACAAAACCAAAATACCAACAAATACTTTCATTTCTGGAGGGAAGATACACAAGAACAGAACAAGAGGTAATTATAACACAACATGAAGATATTAACAGATAAATAAATTACAGTTCATTTTATAGCACTGTGCATCTCTGTGGCAACTAGAGAGATGATAATGATCTAATCAAATACTGCTTTCCATTTCTACAAGCCTAAATAAATCAGTCTGACGTATAAAATATGCACATGTTGAATTTTAAAAAAACTGGAAAATATTTTTCAAAGCTCCTTGTGTCTATACATCTCTCACCATCTGTAAAATGTTAGGTCTGACATTTATTTAGTCTACACAATCTACATTGTTTATATATGAACCTTCTTAACAAAAAAGACCAGTTTGCACTTTAAATTTTTCTATAAATCAATAATACATGCTACTATATTAGAACAATAAAAAGAATGTTTATATCCCTTAACTGGAGTATGTGCTGCAAAGCATTTCACAGGAATCTCACAGAAATTTAACCAAGGAATATATTCTCCAAAACACACTGCACGTGCCTACTTACAACATACCACTATGGTGAAATGCTTGCACATTCATATAAACATTCATTAAATAGGCTGTGGAGGTTAAGCCTTTTCTGTACAAATGAAAACCTAGGCACAGACTAGACTGAGAGGATGCAATTTTTTCAAATTTTGTCAAGCAGTTCCTCTAGATTGCAGAACAGCTACAAAAGGTCCTAGGGTTAATGGCTCCTGAGCTACAGATTGCTTAAACATAAGAACAAGAAAGATGGTGCCATTCTGTAACAGATAAGACAAGGTACATCAATTGTTTGATGAGCACAGGGGACAATACAACCAAATCTGGATAACGAACCTACCTACAGAATGTACTGCTGAGACAGAAAGACTCACCATATGTGCAATTCTTCTGTTTGTACCTTTCTGTATATTGCTCACAAAACACAGTTTTTTGTGTAGAGAGTAAAATAAAAAGATCCTAGAAAATGCATTCAGACTCTGTGACTCTGGTTTAATTTCTTTTGAGTAACTGACCTATTCCAAGCCCCCTGCTGCAGGCACATCTGAAATGGAGACCTGCTTCACTGCAGGAAGAAAAACCCATCCCAAAACTCAGAATTAGAACTCTATGGCCCATCCCCTATTCTATAGTAGTAATTTCATTTTACTCTATGCTGATTCAGTGAAACTACACCAACTGAAAACTGGAGTGACAAAAAAGAGAGGCCCATAGCCAAAAAAAACAAAGGAAGGAGAAAGTTGAAAATTATATCATAAAACCAAACACTCAACAAAAGTCAGGAAACAGTGTTTCAGCATTATGAGGGACCCGTTATACTCACATCACATCTATACATCTGTCCAATCTGGAGCACATCAAAGTAACAGAAGAAACATCTTGGGAAACACAGTAACTTTGATAAAGGATATAAGAGGATTAATTAATACAGAATAGTAGGGGAAAATCTCAGATAGCACTCAGTATAAAAGAAAATGACCTTTCAGAAAATAAGTGACTGAAATCTTCAAATTGCCAACAGGGTAACTTTAGATAAGCACTATAACCAAACAGAAAACTCTGCAACATGAATGCATGGACAAAAGTTGAAAAAAGGGAAATAAATTTTTTTCAGGCAGAGGTGGGGAGCTTCTAAAAGGCAGACATTAAAGCAGTATAATAACTGTGTTAAAAATAACAGAATAAAATATATTAAAAATACAATAGGAGTCACTGAGCAGTCAAGTGTAGAAGTACCAAATTTCTACTTGCTCAATCTATAAAAATGCTACCACTACTATCTCTTGAGATACTATCATGAGGCTTCAGGTGTTTTTTAAATCCCAACTCCAGATTCTGGTATCTATTGATAACATAAGAACATGAACTACCTTGGACAAAGAGGAGAGAGAAAGGAAGTTTCCTTGGTTATGAAGAAAAGTAATCTAAGGGCATACTAAAGGCAACATAATGCAAGTTAGAGAACCTTTTTTCCAGACTTCTTATTCTGGGCACCTGAATCAGGGTTTCCAATATAGAAAGGTGATATATTCCTGATCATTTACCGATGGTAAGAAAGAGTTTGGTCCCAGTTTACAGGCACAGTATATAACTACCAATTCCTTCTGGAGAAGTAATGTACAGAATTCAATGACTTATGACATTTTCTTTTGAAAAATATAAACTGTAAGCAAACATCACAGGTTGCTTTGCATTAAAGACTGACTTAATATTTTGATATGTTTTGGAAGAAGAAAACAAACCTAATAAAGAACAATTTATTTTTGAGAATGTGAAAATGAAAGTTTTCATTGCAGAAATACTGGTCTTTTTCTGATGACTTAGTATAAACTCCTGTCCCATTTTCAGCTCTTTTCAAAGTAATTCTACTAAAAGAGAAGTCATTATTTTAGAATTCTGGTTAAAAGCAGATGAATTCAAGACAAATATATTTATCATTTATTACTCAAAGTATATTAGATAAGCATCCTCCATGTTACAACTATCTGTGCCTAGTGACGTGGGTGTGCCTGCAACCGCACCTTAGTTTGAATCGAGGAACTGAATCCCCTCTTTCCTTCTTTCTGGTGTGCAGCATGGAGTGGTTTTAGAGCAAAAAAACAGATTCTTTTTAGATAAAAATAAACCAGATAATACATTCTAGGAACACAATGATGAAAACCTTGCCAAGAATTGGCAGTCAGTCTGTGGGAGCTTTCCTCTAAACTCTTATAAAGAG